AAGTATATTTTAATCTTTTGATTTCTGATTTTTCATTTTTGAATACGTTTCGATATCGTATACAAGAAATGAACATGTTTTAGATGATATGAAGATCTTAGAACATGAAAGAGGAAAAGTCAAAAAGCAAGAAGAAAAAAGGTTCACATTGTCCAACATACTCTTGAAAATGTTTTCGTGAAAAAACCTCTAAATTGTACCCTTTTTTGGTGGATCAACATCATCATTCAAATTAGCCTTTAATTGTTATAAAAAAAAAAAAAGTTTACACCTTTTTGGTCTATAATATTACGAAAAGTTCTCGTACTTTAGAAAGTTGTAACGATCCCGTCTAGTATTAAAAATCTTATTGTAATCAAGACTAGATAAATAATTTGACTCTATTTAGTTGTCCATATTTCATGTGAGTTGTTTTCCTATAAATTAATTCAATGACTTAATTATTACATTTTAAAATTATAAAAGCTAAATATTTACCAAAAAAGTGAACATTGGAAGAGTTGAAACTAAATGAACTATTGTACATCATAAGCATAATTGGGATTCAAAGATATTCAGAGTTTAAATGGTAGACTAATAATAAAATTTTGGTTAAAATACTATTTTGGTGCTTCCTTTAATTCATTTTATTAAACGTACTTTTAAAATATTCTTTTTGGTTAGTGTATTTTTAAAAAGTGACTATTTTGATCCATATTTGCAAATTTTAATACAAATTTTATGCATATCAAAAACTCTTTAATATAATAAGGGTCATGGTTACATTTCAAGAAATATAATGTCGTGTTACAATTGTCATAAAAAAAATGAAATTAAAAATCAAATTAAAGAACTAAAATGGTCACTTTTAAAAAGTATACCATAAAACAAACATTTTAAAAGTACGTAAACTAAAATGAACTAAAGTTAAAAATACAAAGTCAAAATGAATATTATAAAAGTACAAAGACCAAAATTTACCAAAGTTGAAAGTATATGAACGAAAATAATATTTTAACCTAAATCTTTTTAAACTATTGAGACCAATTTAAAATTAAAGTTGGAGTACAGAGAGGGAGAAAAAGTAAACATAATGGTGTAAACATCCATAAATTTTGAGTTTCATTTATATAAATCATAATTTAATAAGTTAGAGAGAGATTATAGACTTATAGTAAGCTATTTTGTCTTTTTATTGACAATATTTTAAGATATTGTACAAAAACAGCTATAATATCTAAGTGATTTGGGAGTTGCAATGATTTAAAATACAGATGAGCACACTGATATGAAGATTATAGTATTAGAAAATGAATGCTCTATGATAACAACAATAATTATTACTATAAGAATGTATAAAAATTGAATTTTCATTGATGTCCAAATCTCACGCACGTTTTAATTAATTTCATAAGACAACCGTCTAGCTTCGTCTTTTTGAGTAAATATGAGGGTGGGGCATCGAACTCACAATCTCTTAGTTGGAGATATAGTAATACTCGTTCAGGTAACTGTCTAGCTTCGTCTTGGATAAAAGTTTCAAAAGATGTATTCATATGAATCAAAACCTACTTTCAAGTTGAGAAAAAAGCCGTTCTACAATATAGCAATAGGCCATTTAGTAGTGTTGAGCGGTGAAAGTTGGACCTTATTCTTTCTAAAAAATTAAATAAACAAACAACAAACTAACTATACCAAGGAAGCACAACCAGCAAGTTTAAGAAGGTTTCAGGGTCGGAAGAACTACCAAAACAGGAGATCTGTAGAAGAAATTAGGCAACGATTTCAAAATGATTTTTGGAAAGTGAAAAACAAAACAAAGAAACGGTAAGAAACACAATGAACTCCATAGAACAGATCATCGTAAAACTAGTGGAGCATGTGAATAGTGTTGTCAGTAGGTTACTAGTGAATTCAGAAGGAAGAAACTTCACAAGTGGGTATCATCAGAACAGAGACAGAGAGGACATTACCAATCAACTGTTTGGGTGAAGAAGCTGCTGCTTGCTTGTCAGTTTCTATGTGTATTTTTGTGTTTGGACAAAAGATGATCCTTATTCTCTTCTTAGAATTCTATCCTTTGGACCATGCAATGAGCTTCTTCCATTGGCTTCATATTCACCCTATTGCAGAGGCAAAAAGACAAAACGTTCAAAATGGGAAACAGTGGAATTGGAGAATTGTGAAGGTTTGAATTTGCCTCTCAGGACCACAAGGAAAGGATTTGTTTCATCCTAAGTAAAGGGCAAAAGAAAACCTATCTCACTTGCTTCTAAGTAAAGACCTGTGCAGCTTTTTGGTGTGCTATCTCTCTCTTTCTAAAGTTCTTTTGCAATTATTCGTTTCTTGAGATTAGTTTTTGTTCGGAAGCCTTTTCTTTCTGTAACTTGTTTTGATTGTTTGGAATTTTAAGGTTTTGGTTTCAGGGTTTAGAAGTTTCTGTTCTTAAATAGAGTCTTAAAAGTTTGTAACTTTTCCAATTATCAAATCAATGAAGAGTTCTTGTTTCTTGTGAAAATATAAAATTAATGTCTTCCTAACTACCTTTCGCACGCCTCAATTGATCACCGGACAACCACCAATCCTTCCGAAATTCATGTACCACCGGGCCAACGAATGACGATTCCATCCCCTTTTTCTCTATATTCAGTTAACATAAAATGAAACCACTAGGCCAGTTGGCCTATTGTCAGTTTTCTCTATATTCAGTTAACATAAAATGAAACCACTAGGCCGGTTGACCTAGTGTCAGTGAGGACCAATGTAAATAGTAAAGGGCTTAGAAGAAATGGGTTCAAACCATGGTGACTACTTGCCTGGGTTTAATATCCTAATATCCTATGAATTTTCTTGACAATCAAATGTAGTAGAGTCAAACAGTTATCCCGGAAGGTTAGTTAAGATCCACACAAACTAACTCGGACACTCACGGATATTAAAAAAAAAAGAAGTTAACATAAAATGAAGATAATCCAGCAGAAGAAGAGAAACATTTGGTCATCTGGTTCGTATACATTGAATCTATGGCACCTAAGGAAGTATTGAGAAATGCCTGTATTTTATTAAAAAGACATATAGAGAAGAGAAAACAAGAAATATAACAGAGCAATTTTTGAACTTTCTTCCTTTCAATCAGAAACTTTTGAACCGTGATACAACTTGAATGCCATTGGAAAGAATCTTCACCATACATAAAGATTCCATTTACAATAACATACGAACAATGAGCAAGAAATAACAGAATTAACAAATAAGGGGAACATCAGCAATGTGCCCATGATCTAGAATTAACCATGCTCGAGATCATTAGATTGAACTCAGAAGAAAATCAAGCTGCCAAAAAATTACCTACAATTTGAAACTTTCAAGAAAGAGAAGATCACAAGCCATAGATGATTCAACCAAAGTTTTGAAAATTGAACTGTGTGTGTGTCATCAACAGGCTGATCATTGAAGCTTCAAGTGAGCAAACAAGTCACCTCCTCAGAACATAACTCAGAAGTTTTCATTTTCCCTCAAGTTCATGATTCTTTCCAGTAACGAATCTTGAACTGAAGAACCGGCTTGAGAATCTCGAGTGAGACCCGACACGGTTAGCCTCTTCCCGGAAGCCAGACTCCTCCTCAATGCAAGCCATGAGATCCATCAAGTTGTTACTGAACCCCAAATCAGAGTAAACTCTCCTCGAGTTCTTGATATCTCGCTGCAAGACTTTTGCATCACCTACATCCAAATCCCCATCTTCAACACCATGACTTCTCAAATTCTGTTGCGAATTCCTCATTTCGACTGGCCGTCCCACGGTCTCCACCATCATACATGGATTGTTAAAGCTATTCCAAGAATGAAGAGGAACCAGTTTGCTCAACCCAGTAAGCCAAACAACCACATCTTTCATGGAAGGTCTCCTCTCTCTACAAGACCTCACACACTTAGCAGCAATCACAGCCAACTGCTTTCTAACAATGGGGTCCTTAGGGGGAGCAATTCTTGGATCATAAATGGCCATTAGCTTCCCTTTCTTTATAAGAGGAACAGCCCAATCAACAATGGAAGGAGGGGAATATCCAACATCAATAGCCTTCCTTCCACTGATAATCTCCAACATCAAAATCCCAAAGCTGAACACATCAGTTTTTGTACTTAAATTATCAGGGGTCACATAACAAGGATCAAGGTACCCCATCGTGCCGGCCGGGGGCGTCGAGCGGAGCCGGTAATCATCAGCATGGCCCTGAATCGCCAGCCCAAAATCCCCCAATCTGGCATTGTAGTTCCTGTCAATCAGTACATTGGCAGACTTGATATCTCTATGAATTACAGGAGGGTTTGAAGCATGGAGAGTTTCAATGGCCTTAGCAGTTTGTAAAGCTAATCGAATCCTTCGACCCCAATAAAGAGGTCTGGAACCCGAATGAATCACATCATAAAGCGTACCATTGCTCATAAACTCCACCACCAGAAGCCTATCCTTTGAATCGTTGGTGAAACCCACGAGATTGACCAATCTAGGGCTCTGAATTTTGGACAAAATTTCGATCTCATTATCGACCTCGTTGGTGACTTCGTAAGCCATGGAAGCCGATAACGAAGCAGGACGAGGACGAGGAGTAGGAGCTAGGGCTCGAGAGGGTTTCTTAACCGCGACAAGACGGCCGCCGAGAACGGCTTTATAGACATATCCATGGCTGCCTTTCCCCAAAAGCTTCTGGTCGGAGAAGCCATTGGTGGCGGCCTCGAGATCACTGTAATCGAACTGTTGGATCTTAATCGGTTTCTCCCGTCTGTGGGACGAATTTCTAGAAGACGATGGGGTTAACGAATTGGAAGTCGAAATTGCAGATTCCGCTCGGCAAGAAAGGTAACCCATCAATCGAGCTTGGAGATGAATGAGCGGATTCTTCTCCTTGGCATTAAGAGATGGGCTTTCGAGTGATTGAACTCTGCAACTCACTCAGAAATCAGAATTCTGCTGCGATTCTGAGGAATGGAAATCAAATGGTTATCTAGAGAGAGAGAAGAGAGAGATTGGAATTGGAATCCCGAAGCTGAATGAGAAGAAAAAGAAAGTGTAATCTAATGAGGAAGAAAACAAAAGACATCAAATCAAAGCAATCTGCGTATATACGGTACGCCATTTTTTCATCTTCATCACCTTCGCTCCAACTTCCATCTTCCCATGGAAAAGAAAATAAATAAAAAAATCATCAAACTGAAACTTTAAATTTAAAATAATAATATTATTTCAAAGTTAATTAAAAAAAATAGATGTATGGTTTATTCATTTGTGTATATAACTTTTTCGTGTTCTAATTATAATTCTTAAAAAAAAAACTCTTTCAATTTTGCTTCTAATCTATACTGTATCAATTAGCAATTAATAATTAATAAATTTAAGATGAAAGAATAAATTTAAGAGGAAAGAGGCAGATCCTGATTATATTTTTTTTATTTACTATTTTGGTTTAATTTATATTTATGTCATAAATTTCAATTTTTGTATTGTATCTATTTTATTTTTAGTTTTTTAATATCAAAACATTATTTCTTTTTTAACTGCATAATACTACCTTAATATATATAATCATATCATCCATTTTAAATTGTCTAATAGTTTTGTATTCATATTTAGATTAAGAAAGTTGTTAATAATTGTGTCAATAGGTATAGATTGTATTTTTTAATTATTATAATATTTAAATGGTGGAGTATCATTTATATTTATCTTTTTAAAAGTAGAAAAAATATATTTGATTTTTCAATTTTAGAAAGTAGCTTAAGAGTAAAAATAAGTAATTTTACTTGTTCCAATCATTTAATATTTAATTATAATTTTGACAATCTAACAAATTATTTCACTACTATTCGAATTTTTAGTTTCATAATTTGATTTAATTTATTATGTCTCAATTAACAATAGACTTGATTATCAAAAATTGATAACCACGTTAATTATTTCAATTTTATAGTACATTCAATGTTTTTTATACCTCTTATTTTATTGTTTTAGTTTGAAGACTGTACTATTTTTTATTGAAAATGTCAACAAATAATAATATATTTTATTTGAAACAAAATATTAGTAACATTTAAAAGTTCTTTTTAGTTGTTATTTTATAGGTTAAATTGGTAGAAATATTATATTAAATATATTTTATTTGAAACAAAATATTAGTACATTTAAAAGTTTTGTTGAGTTGTTATTCTATAGATTAAATTGTTAGAAATATTATATTAAAATGTTTATAACCACGTGCAATGCACGTGATACTAACTAGTATTTTAAAAAGGTTCAATTTTGGTTTCTTAGGTAGTTTTTTTTTTTGGGTCAAAATATACATTATAAATATGTTCATGTAAAATTTTTAAAAAATTATATAAAAAATATTTTAATATATTTTTTGACTATTAAATTTTACATCTAATAAGCGTTGAATTAAAATAAAATGACTGGTAGATCATACAAAATTGAAAGTTAGACGCATTTAAAAATTGAGAGACAGGTTATTGAAAGTTTACAGGCATATTAGATATTTTTAAAATTTAGGAGTTTAAATTGTAATTTAATATTTTTTATTTTATTGAGATGGTTAGCTGTGGATGTGGCACTATTAATGAATTCTATAATAATTTCATATTTTTTATCGATTACATTGTTATAGCTAGGTTAGGTTATATGAAATGAATAGATATTTAATTGGGTAGATTGTCCAATTAATTAAGTTAAAAAATATAAGATATTTTCAACTCAGTACAAAATGTCAATATGAGTATAATTTAACTGAACATATATTTGCCAAAACGAGCTTAACTCAGCAATAATTAGAGGTTATTTAGCCATTTAAAAACATTTTGAATATTAGTTGTATCGAGAAAGATAGAGTAATCATTTTATTTGGAAACCTCCTCATCCCAAATTGTCTAAATTGATGCCTTAAGTTCCAATCCATTTTGGTAGCTAGTTCCTATCAACGAAATAAAAAGAATCTAATGGAGCACAAATTATATATATGGATCGATCGTAGATTATAGTTGGAACAACCAATTTCATATGTTTTATATTTTTCTCTTTATCACCGACTTGATCATAGTTCAACTATTAAGATATATATCATCACATCGACTTCAATCATAGTTAGATCAAAAGGTCGGAAATTCGAATCACCCTTGATGTTGTTAGAACTTAAAAATCATTAATAGAGTTTGCATCCTCACTCCTATTTAAAGTTATATTTAAATTTCATAAATGTGAGTTGTCATATGGGAAAAGTATTCCTCCTTTTGCAAGTAACCTCCAAAAAAGTGAAAATCCAAACTCCTTTATGGGCCATTATTTTATTTATTTATTATTACAATTTTTAAATCTAAAAGTTAGTATGTATTATTTAATTAGGACCAATACTATTGAGTGATTTGTATCCATTTTTTGTAATACAAATTTGACGACTTTATTTTTAAAAAAATGAAACAAATATTTTTTTCTCCATTTCTCTATTCTATTTATTAAAAAATTTGTGGTCATCAGAAAAAATATATATATATATATATATATACTGACCGATAAGCATCTAAATATTTCTTTTGAACGAAGGTTCTAATAATAGACAAAAAGCCATCTTGGCCAACAAGTCTGATATCCATCTACCAAATGACATTTTATTTTCCACGACATGATTTCCAAATAAGACCCATTTTAACAATTTAGCATCATCAATCAAGATTTGACTCTATGTTCCTCTTTTTAGTTGGGATAAAACCCCACCATACCAAATATATTTTCCATCTCAATTTTCTTTCATGGCAATTGGAAATTTTTAAATTTTATTTTACCAATTTAATATGTAAAGTTAGGGGAGATTAGTGGGGGTGGGGGGATCATATACAAATTAGTTGTAATTTTTTCTAATCATATGGTTGAATTTAGACTACTTTTGTAATTATTTGAATTTTTTACTTTCTTTGTATTTCTAAGATTAGCCTACACATATATAGATATCCTACCATGTTAACATATCTATAGTTCATTTCATTTTGATACTAGGAATATGGATTTTACTTTATTTTAAAGCATCAAAGATTCTTTTTTGGATTTTATTCTTTTTATTTTAAAATTAAAAAAAAAATCTTTTAGTCCCTAAACTTTTAGTTATATAGGTTCATTTGGTCCCTACGTTTTAAAACGATATATTATTGCCGTTGAGTTTTTCAGAAATAGGTTTAAATAGTTCATCTACTATCATATCTATTAATGCTACTCTAATGGAAACATGATTCGGCTGATGGGGGCAAATTGGAGTTACAAGATCGTACCCCCAGGATCATCGCGTAATGGATGGGATTGATAAACACATCACAATCGTAAACAATACCATGGTGTTCTTCCATCCGATAAAGTTACACCGAGATCTTTTCTTTGCATAACTCTACGACGATAGGGTTTAAGATCACGGTGTTCATCTTCCGTCGTTTGCATTATATTTAGTAACGGAATCATACTATGAACACTGCGATCTTGATTTCGAGTATAATTACAATAGTATTTAATCGTGGTGTTTATTATCCTATAGTGTTACACGATTAACATCGTAATATGACCCCTATATTAATACTGATCGTCCAATAACTCCATCAATCAACAGACAAAAACAATCTATTTTTAAAACTTTTTGTTCAACTATACAAATCGATGCATGCTCAAAATGTGTTGAAAATGATACTTTCGTTTATGCTAAAAAAAAAAGGAGTTAAAAGACAATCCATCGATTTTCCTCAAAGCCCATTTTAAAAACTTAATATATTTGTTAATTGAGTGACCATCAAACCTACCGACAAACATTTTAATTTTAGTTATTCATCTTTAATAACATATTTGAATAATGGTTCATGTGGTATAAGCAAAAACTTAGATAGGATACATGAACAATAAATGAAGTAATAATAATGCCATGTTTTCATTAACCCAAAAATAATATTTTTTAATAGTAAAGACTGAATTTGAAATTTAACGAAGAACATAGGGCTAAATATTTGAGATTCTTAAAATTTAGAGATTAAAAAAAGTTAATTTAATGGAAACTTATGAACCAACCTAATTTAAACAACGTTTGAGTTGGACGGATCTGATTTATGCATTTCTATAAAAGGGAGACACGTAACTTTTTGAAACTAAAAAGGTTGAAATGGGAAGAAGTGAAAATATGAGATTGAAGGAGATTTATCAATGAGAAGAGAGCTTTTCAAAAAGAAGATGACAATTATTGATTATGATGTGAAGTGAGAGATGAAAAAGGAAACCTAAAACCTTGAATCCTAAGCTTAGATGAAGGGTTGGAATGTTAATGTCATCAATTAGTCAAGCCAATCACTCCTTAGATTAAGAATTGAGATTAATTGGAGATCCATCTTCCATCCGTGTCGTGATAGTTGAATTATATGAAATAAGTAACAACTTTGTTTAGATATATATAAAAGGAAAACGATTAACTTTTCTATTTTGTTTACGTTTAGTGTATTTTCACTCATTTATTCAATATAGTATTAAGTATATTATGGATATATATTTTTAACTAAAAGTATATGGAGAGACGAGAGAAAAGAATATTTGAGGTCTATTGAATACAATGCTTGTCTTCATCTCCAAAATACAGAGGTTATATATCTCATCGTTAAGCTAAGTACAGGTCAATTCGTCAAGACATATATTTCTGATTAAAATAATAAATAATTAAAAAATAAATATATAAGAGAAATAAATTATTTCATATTTTAAATAGCAACCCATATGGTAGAGTAAAAAAAGTTAACAAGTATAATAAACAAAATAAGAGAATTTATATTTATTTTTTAAGGAATCATAATTTCTGTAATTAGTTATTTATTAAAATTAATTAAACTATTAAAAACAAAAAAAAATTTAGTGCTTTTCTAATACAGAGTGAGGATTCAAAATTACGATCTTTTGATTTGGATATATGTCTTAACCAATTAAATTATGCTCAAGTTATTTGGCAAAATTTCAATGTGTTAACTGCTAAACCATGTTTACGTTAGGCGGATTGATTGTAAAGATTACGTAATCTTTTATAATTTTTTTAAATTATTGGTGATATAAATCTAGGTGGTTTAGAACGAGGACACTTTAACACACTCATCATCTAACTCAAAAAAAAAAAAAAAAGGGCAAAATACAGCAAAAGCCAAAATGTTTGGTTCAAAATAGTTTTCAAAATTTGAAGAAACCTACAAGGAATATTATTCAGATTTTCATTTAAAATGTGCATAGTGGGCTTCTGATAGTCCACGATATTTAATGGGCTTCCCATTTTGAGGCCCTTCACATATTATTCTAATGGTCAAATGATAGCATAGTGGGGCTTTTTGTTTTTATTGAATAGTATTTTGATATTGTAATTTTAACTCTTTTAAAACCTTAGATTTAGTTTTTGTATTTTTATATTTATTTTAGTTTCGATACTTTTGAAACCTTCCTTTTAATTTTTATACTTTCTATTTTTGTTTATTTTAGTTCAATACTTTTGAAACGTCTTTTTATCTATTACTATTTAAAAGAGATGGGAGCTAAATTTCTAGATAAATTTAACTGGGACAGAACGAGAAGCACCCATGTATCTTGGAATTATGCTTTCTCTAGATATGAGAAATAGATGTGACTCAAGCAATTATCCATATACTCTACATCGAGATGAACAACTTCTACTAATGCAATAGATCCATGTTAGCTCTGATTCTATAAAAAATACGATGTGTGGAGTCCTTCAATACAACCATACTATCATCTCAAACAAATTTATTAAACATGCACTTAAGAAAAGATGATCTTGTGTTTCAATCTCATTCGAACAAAGAACACAAGAGATTGAAGTTAACGGACACCAATAACGTATAGGTATATGATCCTAAATTGATAGACGATCACAAATAGTACACCGAGCACTTGTAAAGATACAAACTAACAAATTAAATCAAATCACATGAATAAAATAATATATTCATCCAATTAAAACAAAAACACCAATACCACACGTGTTGCACGTGCTAATAAACTAGCAAGGACAAAAGGGGAATAATTGGGAATGTTAAGACAAAAAAATGGGATTTGAAACTCCTATAAATTGCAAATCAGGGCCCTATTCATCTGCTAGTATCAGTCATTTCCTTTTCCAGCTTCTAGAGAGATAAAGAGAAGAGCAGAGGAGAGAGAGAGAAATGGAGGGAGAGATAGTTAACTTCATCAAGTTCTGGCTAACAGTCTGCATCTCTCTCTGTTACTGCCACCGCGTCGGAAAACTCCTCCCTCCCGGCTCCGGCCGCCTCTCCGCCGTCGCCCCCGTCGTCGCCCTCTTCCTCTCCCTCCCTCTCCTCCTCACCTCCATCCATCTCGGCGGCCCCACCTGCTTCTTCGTCGCCTGGCTTGCAAACTTCAAGCTCCTCCTCTTCGCCCCCGACCCGCCGCTGCCTCTCCGCCGATTCCTCGCCGTCGCTTGCCTGCCGATCAAGATCCACGATAGCAAAAATGGAAACCATTCACAGGAAAAATCGAGCCCTAATCGCCGCGAAACCCTAAATCCCCAACCTAAATCGTTCCTCAATTACGCGATTAAAGCCTTACTCGTAGCGCTAATGGTGAAATTGTACGATTTCTCAGATTCAATTCACCCGAAAATCCTCTTGTTAATCTATAGCTGGCATGTGTATTTCTTTCTTGAAATTATCCTGGCCGTGGCGCAGTTTCTCGGCCGGCATCTCCTCGGAATCGAGCTCGAGCCGCAGTTCAACGATCCCTATTTCTCCACTTCGCTTCAGGACTTTTGGGGGAGACGGTGGAATCTGACGGCGACGAACATTCTTCAGCCCACCGTTTACAGACCGACCGTACGCCTCGCCTCCCGCGTAGTCGGCCGGAGGTGGGCGCCGCTGCCGGCGGTGATGGCGACCTTTATGGTCTCGGCGATGATGCACGAACTGATTTTCTACTATTTGGGCCGAATGATGCCCAACTGGGAGATCACGTGGTTCTTCCTCATCCACGGATTTGCGTTGACGGTGGAGATTATGGTGAAGAAGATCCTACCGGAGAAGCTGCGGCTGCCGGCGGTGGTGTCGGGGCCGGCGACGGTGGCGTTCATCTTCTCCACCGCGATCTGGCTGTTCTTCCCGCAGTTCGTGAGGTTGAAGATAGACGAGAAGGCGTTTGAGGAGTACGCCGCGTTGGTCAGTTTCGTGAAGAACGGCGCTTTCTCATTGGTCGGTTGAGTTTTTTATTTTTCACCAAACCAATCAAAAGCGTCACCGCAATTGGTGATAAATGATAATAAATATAATTTTTTGGGGTCGTAATATTGGACAAAACATTAAATCCGTTTTTATATTTCACCATTTTTCATTTAAATAATATTTTTTCACGAAAAATACAAAAATGACACGTAGGAAGTTTCAAAAGTATATCAACCACCCATTTTAAAAATTCATATAAATAACGAAGATGCAAACTTTTTGGAAAAAATAAAAAAAATGAAAAATGAAACCAATCCGCCTAACGTGGACAAAGGTTGTAGAGGAATCCTTAGCCCCACATTTAGATGCATTATAGATGTGGACTGAGGATTCGAGAATTGGTTGAAGTAATAATGAGCCTTACTAGACCTGAAAAATTATTAAATGTAGCTATCTCGTTGATGTAGGTTTAAAATAAAAATTTTAATTTATCTAGATCTAACTCTCTGTATAGAGCAATATTGAATAATATTACTGAGAGAAATTGAGAGACCAATAAGAGAGTGTATCGTGCCATTGTAATCTTGAAATCTCCTACCTCTCTCTTCTTTTTTCCTTTTCTCATGCGGTTCTTCTCCAATGAATTTCACTGACATTGTCAACTTCCAAAATTAGAAGAACAATGGGAGCTTCCAGATTGGAGAGCTTTCTTCCGAAGAAAGCTTTCTCTTTGTTCTAGATCCTGAAAAGGGAGAGAGTGGAAGAAAAGAGGGAAGGAAGAAGAAGAGAGAAAAAAGATGTAAATTCTTTTCTAATTACCAAAACAATTATATAATATTACTATAATTGTCAAAAAAGAATAGTTTTTGAAATTTAAGAGATAAAACATATGCAAAATTTCAAACTTGATAGACCAGAAGTGTATTTAAAAAAAAAGTTAAAAGTGTCAAGCAAGGGATGTACGTATGAGAATCGTGTAATAGAGAGTCGTCTGTTGAAGGTCAAGTTCAAGCGAGTATACAGAATACTATTTCAACGGCTCAGATTTAATCGGCAAACTTGAGTGGCTTGATTTTATTCGAGATAAGATTAGGTACAGTATGCTGTATGGAAGTAATGGAATGGGACCTATGGGTGGATGGTTGCATGTTGTGATCTTCACTTAATCGGACGGTATTATGAAGGACACGTGGCATCAACCAAATAATTCACTAAATAAAATAAAAAAGTCTCCTACATTTAGAAGAAGTTTATTACATTTGGTTTAATTTAGTAAGAGTATACATAAATTTCAACCTCCAACTTGAAGATGATGAATAGATGTCATTTACAACTGAAATATGCTCATGTTAACTAAAAATTTAATTTGAATTACAATGATTTTTAATTCAACCAATTTTAATGTTCTTGACTAAAAAAATTAAAGGTTCACCCCATATGTTAAATTTAAAAAAAAAAAAAAAGGGACCGTTAACGTGACATGATAATTAAATTAAGAAGTGATGATTTGACAATGTAGATATAAAATAACGAGCAGACTACTAAAATGCATTTTAAATAGAATTTTTCAAGTCAAATACTCCTAAAGCGTGCAAACGACCCTCGAGCATTCTAGAGAAGCCTAGCAAGTTTAAGAGAATGCTAGAAAAACGTAAAAAAGTTTAGAAGGATCGGACAAGTATTATATTGAAAAAGTGTAGAGAATTAGAGATATATGTGTGGGATTTTGAAATATTTCAAACTCTTTTACATGTCAACTTCCTTTGACAAGAAAGTGTGACATAATGGTTCATGATACTTGGCTTGCATTTAATAATTAAGCCAAAGTTTTGGGCCAAACTATCATCAACCAATAGATCTGTAGATAGAGGCAAAGCTAGAAATTTTCTAAGAATGACAAAATTTTATTTACATGATTACTTGGACCGTTTCGTTAAAGCTTCTTTCAATGGCATATCTGAACCAGTTTTGAAGCCATATTTTTTATTAAGTGTCATAAATAATTGGGTAAACACGTATTTCTAATTTTCCATCTTAAATTTAGAGAACCTTGGTGTGTCATGAGCTAGCAAACAAATAACGTAAATTCCCAGATAGCAAACAAACAATATATATGGACCCTTTTAGCCTCAAGACCCTCTAAATTTCAAAACGAGATAAACGTGGGCAAAGTGGGGAGCTGGACAGACCTCCTCAAAATCCCAAATCATTAAAACAAACATCACAAGCCAAAAATTTTCTATTTCCCAAACAATTAATCAAACCGAAGGTAAGATTTAAAAATTAGAAACATAAAACGCCTATCGCTGAATAAAAGAATCCAAAGGACCGTGTCCAAAAATTTCAAATCAGAGAGAAAAATTATAGAGATCATTGAGATGGAGACGGAATAGAGGGAAGGAAAAGAGATGAAAAAAAAAAAAAAAAAACATACATTGTCAAAAATAGAGGTAAGGGCAATTTTAGAATTTTAAATGTCCTAATTTTGGGATGTGATTCATGCAATCCAAAATCACCTGACCTGATTTTTTCAAAATCAATTTTGTTTATTAGTTCCAAACACATCTTTAAAATTTTGGCATTCACCAACCTGAATTAAAAATTTTCATCGTAGTTAAATTACTAGTTTACTCTATGAATTTTAAAATATATCTAATAGGTCTCTGAATTTTTAATTGTGTGTAAGTCCCCGGACTGTAAAAGTGTTTAATTAAGATTAAAAATTTAGGTTCTTATTAGACAAGAATGGATCCCCTAAAAATCTCAATTCTTTCTTTCSAAGCTCTCACCAAAAATAAAATAATAGTTGCAAAATCAATTCACTTGAAATGTTAGTAAGTATTATTGTGTATATTGGAGTTATTACTCGCAAATTTGTAAGAGTAAGAAATAAAACTTCATTTGAAATGAAATTCAAGTCAAACACGCAAACCAAAAACAAGGAAAAAAAATAAAAGAATACAGCTCAATAAATTAAATATGTGTAACCTAAGTTTTAGGAATTGCCAAATAAATGTTTTTTTTAATGTGATTTAACCAAATACAGTACTCAACCTTGATAAATCACTCAAATTTATTAAAATTGAGATTACAACATTCTCCAAAACGCTATTATAACATTTGAACATTTGTTTATTTATATGTCTCTATCCATTCATTAAAAGAAATTTAAATTATAACACGGATTTTTGAACTAGACTTCTGTCTTACCAATTTTTTAATTTTATAATTTTGTAAAGTATTTGATAATAAAAATGTCAGAGGGATAAAAATAGGACTAAGGTACCCATTAAACACGTTTTAAATATTGAAAACTTAATTAGGCAAACCTTAAGTTGTATTATATTTAAATTTTAATTTTAATTTAACCAAAAAAAAAAAAAGAAAGGACAAACAGTAGGTTAAATTCTGCTAGAGAAAAGTCAAAATTTAAATTTCTAAAACTTATGACCGAAAAAAATAGTTTTATTACACGACGTACTGTAAGTTGTAACCGTTTCTGTGGTCAGAAAATCAAATCAACTCGCCGATGAGAAAGAGGCGCTTTGTGAAAAAATCGCTCACCGCCGCGTACTCGGCGAACGCCTTGACGTCGATCCCACACCGGACGAACTGCGGGAAGAACATCCAAATTCCGGTGACGAACACGAACCCCACCGTCAACGGCACCGAAACCACCGCCGGCACCCGCCGGCACTTCTCCGGCCACGCCTTCTTCGCCAAAATCTCCACCGTCAGAGCCACCCCATGGACGGCGAAGAATCGCGACACCTCCCAATCGGGCCTCATCCGGCCCAAGTAGTAAAAGATCAGCTCGTGCATCATCGCCGACACGAAAAACGTCGCGAGCACTGCCAGCAGCGGCGCCCACTTCCGGCCGACGACGGGGGCCGCCAGCCGGATCGTTGGCTTGTACACCGTCGGATTCAAAATGCCCGTCACCATCAGATTCCATCTCCGTCCCCAAAAATCCTGGAGCGAAGTGGAGAAGTACGGATCGTTGAACTGCGGCTCGAGCTCGGCTCCGAGGAGATTCCGGGCGAGGAATTTCGCGGCGGCGAGGATTATTTCGAGGAGAAAGTAAATGTGCCAACTATAGATGCACATAACAAGTTTCGGATGCATAAATTCGCTGTAATCGTAGAGTTTCACCATTAACGCCACTAGAAAACCTTTAATCGCGTAGCTGAGGAACGATTTTGAGGGTAGTGGGGTTTCGATTTGGGGGGCATTAGGGCTCGATTTCGGAGATGTGTTTTCTCCATTTTGGGAAATTTGAAGATGGTTTCGTTGGATCTTGATCGGCAAACAGGAAACGGCGAGAAATCGCCGGAGAGGGAGAGGGGGATCGGAAGATAGAGGGCCTCCGGCGAAAGAGAAGAGGAGGAGCTTGAAATTGGCGAGCCAGGCGATGAAGAAGGCGGTGGGGCCGCCGAGATGGGCGGAGGAGAGGCGGAGCGGGAGGTAGAGGAAGAGGCAGACGACGGGGAAGATGGAAATCAGGCGGCGGCCACCGGGGCGGACATTTTTTCCGATGAGGTAGCAGTAGCAGAGGGATGCACAGACTGTGAGCCATACATTAATGAAGTTGATAATCTCATTTTCCATTTCCTAAGATTTGAACTCATTTGTGATTATTGAACAACTTTAAGTAGGAGGAGGGAGAGGGTAAAGACCAGAGGGAAATTATTGATATATTATTATTTTATAAAAATAATCAAAATTTTTTTTTATAGAGGACTTTTGGAATTGTTTATTTCCAAATTAACCGTGTGTTTTGGAAAACCATAAAATAATTGACAGTGCTTTTTTCTTTTGAAAAACATTAAAAAACAATTTGTGCATTTTTCTTTACCTGTAAAAATTTGATAGTGGTAGCAAAGCAAAGGGTCATGAAGGATTATCGCGAAGTATTTCTCTTTTGAAATTACTTGTAAAATTATGGGTGTTTTAGAGGATAAATTTGAGCAAATATCTCTTATAAGAAATCATCGATTCGAATTCTCATCTGACTTGTACTAAAATGATAATAAATAACAAATTATCACATCATTTTTTTAAAACTAATGAAAAAAATCATATTTTTCAAATGTGAGGCGAATTACAAATTTATGTTGGCAAATCAAATAATTCTACTTGGCTTGTGACAAAACCAACCAGACATAATGTCTTCCATGAATTATTTGGAAACATATTTTCACAAATCTCCAATGTTTACAAATTTTCTAGTTTTAAATTTCTTGATTTAAAATTTTTTCAAATACCAAATTTGCCCTTATTTATGACATCTATATTGTGTGTGTGCGCGCGCGTGTGCTTGTGCGTGTGCGTGCGTGTGCGTGTGCGTGTGCGTGTGGCCGACGACAAAACAAATAGCCTACAAACCTTCCGATCGGCGACTAGACAATGGTCGGGATAAATGGAAGGCTCGAATGGTTGGGTGCCTGACGACAAAAAAGAAATCTCGGGATAAACGGACGGAAACAATGGACAGACGGTCGGAGACGAAAGAGAAGCTAGACAGACTGTTCCGACAACGAAGAAGAATGGAGGCAGCGGTCGGAGAAGAAGGAACGCATACGGCGGCCGGAGACGAAGGAATGGACGGAAACAAAACAACAGAGTAAGAAGAAAGTCGAAGGGATGAGGTTTTCGAATTTTTTCAATAATTGAGGATTTTGGAGATTTGATATTTTTTAATTTTGGAAAGTCTAATTAGACAAAATTTAAGGGATTTAAAATGCAACCTCCAAGTAACCAATTTTGGATTTTAAAAATTAATTAATATTGAGGTGGGATACAAGAGGATATATTAGTAAATTGAGTAATGGATACCATCTTAAATTGAATTGTTTCGTGACAAAAGTGTAAATTTTATATCATTCAATATTTTTATGTAATTATACTGTCTAAATAGCCTATCGATGTACTAATTCCAACAAACTAGTTAACTAAGTCTATGAGATTGTGTCATGTGGTGAAAGTCAACCAAGCCCAAACCCACGTAGGACCATCCAAAATTTAGAGGCCCACCACTACTCATTAACAATCATTGTGGAGTGGAAGGTTCATAATTTATAACTCTCCTACAGTAGGAACTAATCCTTTTGAATTCGCACGGAGGAGATCGAGACAATGCTCTTCGGTTATTGACAATGATGTAGATCATTGCTTTACCTTAAAAATTATGTAGAGGGTCTTTGGTTGTAAATATATATTTAGATATCGTTTTTCTCATGCGATCAATATCACAATTAATGTTCTAAGAAATGATGGAAGAGTTCCCGAAAATCAAAAAACTTTGAAGTTGAAACCTCTTTGAAGAACTTCAACAAACAACAAGTAAATCTTCCACGAGTTTTAAAATATATATATATATATATATATAAAAGAAATATGAGACTCAAACAACATAGTATATTAGGAGTATCCGTAACCAAATGAAATATTGTATATGAAATATTGTATTAGTAGGTCAGGCAATACCCACTATCAAATGAGGAATAGAGGGCTCAAGAAGTACAAGAATAGGAGGCTTAAACGCATATAATATGCGGTTAGATTTGTGCAGCTATTCCAATATGCAACCACAAATAATTTGTCATATTGACTTCTCATTATTTAAAGCTAATTACTAATGACATTGGGTAAACTTTAATTAAAAAATAAAAGTAAAAAATAAAAATAAAAATAAATATTTTTATTAAATTACAAATTTATCCTCGTTGTCTCTATTAAGTCATTATACTTAAAAAAATCGTAATAAGTCTCTAAATTTCTAAATTTATGTCTATTTAATTTCTATATTTTTAAAAAGATTTTGATAGCTCATAAACTCTCAAATCTTACATGTCTACATCAGACTTACATCACCAAATAGTTGAATTTTTCAAAATAAATTTGTCATATAATCCTCAAATAATTTATTCAATGCATCATAGGATCGAGAGATACAAAATTAAATATTCATAGACTTATTATTAAACATACAATCGAAAGTTGAAAACTATTAAAAAATTTTAAGTATAAGTAATAAATATTACTATCCCAAGGATGGTTTCACCTCTCTTCTCTTCCATTATTTAACTAAGAATAAAATTAAATAAATACAACTTAGATGCGGAAATTTCTAAAAATAACAATATAAAAGCTCCAACGTGGGAATTTTTATAATGAAAAAGGAATTTTTTATTTTTTATTTTCGGAGTTGACCTGGCGAGAGCAGGTGGTTCCCGTGCCATGTTAACAATTGATTAATTTCGCTGTGATTACTATCATTGTTTTTTCAAACAAAATAAAAATTATAATAAAAAAAAATTATACCTAAATGTAAAGTTGTAAACTTACTTCATGAACTTTTATGGACTTGCGAATAATGAGTCAGTAGAATTTTTTAAAAATATTTTTTTAATATAACATGTTGAGGTGGGGATACGAAATTGTAAGTATTATCAAGTTAATTAAACTGTATTCAAGTTGACGGTATGATTTCAAAAGTATCGAATAGGTCTTTGAATATTTAATTTTGTGTTTAATAATTGTCCGAATTTTAAAGTGCCTAACAAGTTCCTAACCATGATATAGGTATAGATTTTCAATTTTGTGCTTAATATGTTATTGGACTATTTAATATTTTCTAGCTTAAAAATTTACAAACTAATGAGACATAAAATTGAAAGTTGATGGTTCTGTTGGATACAAAATTCAATTTTATATCTTATATATATGTTAATTTTTTAAAATTTTGAATTTTCTAAGATTTAGTAGATACAAAGTTGTAAATTTATGGACCTATTAAACAATTTTATAGTTTGGCGACGTACATAAAATTAAAAATTTAGAAATCTATTAGATACTTTTTTAAATTCAGAGACATGTTACATACACAAATTTAAAAGTTCAGAGAATGAATTAGTAATTTAATCAAAATTATAAGATAAAATTTTTTAATTGACTTGAAAGTTATAGGGCAGGTTTGTGATGACAAAATCACCTTTTTTCGGCGTGTTTCTCACTTTTGCCATTATCAAAATCAGTCATTTTTTCATTGATCTTGACAAATTAAAAAACTTGATTTTAAGAAAGTTTAAAATCACTTTTAAATTGATTTTTAAGGTATTGGACACTGATTTTGAAAAATAGTTATATTTAAATCTTTTTTTTTAATTACTCTTTCTAACACCACTCTAAAACACACCATTTAAAATATTGATATTAGGCAAATAAAAAAATTGATTTTAGAGAAAATAAAAATCAGTTAAAATTGATTTTAGAAATAGTAGTTAGGAAGTGATTGTGGGTTATGTCTGAAAAAAAGAGTTGATTTATAAAACATTGGGTTAATATTTTTAAAAAAATTGTATTTTTTTACGATTTAGGTGTATTTGGTTCTAGAAGTTTGTTTGAGATGAATCTTAAGATTTATAAAAGTTAAGATTTATATGTCTAAAAAAAATAGTTGATTTATAAAACATCGAGTTAATATTAAAAAAATTAATTTGTATTTTGTACCATTTTGGTGTATTTGGTTGTGATGAAATCTAAGATTTATAAAACATCGAGTAACTATTTTTGACATGTTTGGAGTGATTATTAATCACTTTAATTTTAAAATATACGCAATGATTCTTCTAAAATTATTTTAAGTGATTCTCAATAAGGTGATTTTCCAAATATTTTTTTTTGTCAATAATTAATTTTAATTATTTCAATTAAATAATCAATATATAAACTATTTATTATTTCTTATAATTTCAATATCTACTCACCATACTCACCAAACACCACGTTTTAATAAATTCAGATTTAACAAAGTAGTATCTAAACATAATGTTTAAGAAATTGATTTAACAAACCTATTTCCTAAACATAGGTTTAATAAATTGACTTAACAAACCTATTTCTTGCACCATTCAAACATAGACTTAATAACTCATACTTAATAAAATAACCCTACAACAAAGAAGTAATACTAACCAATATTAAAAAGAAAAAAAAAAGAAACAAATAAGACACAATATAAGGTAGAGGCTAGCAAATTAAATAATTTGAATTTATCTGAAAATTTTTTGAACTATAAATTAATTATTTTGGATTAAAATAAAAGCAACCCTCTCTCACAAAGATTGGTTTAAAAAATATATATATATGTAACTTAGTCGTTCAAGAGCTACATTTTTTTAATGTTATTATTAACTAATGAATCTCTTTCATTGTTATCATTTATTCAAGGTCATGTTATTACAAAAATTCAATTAAAAAGTTTTTCATTCTTTCGGGGTAGAAAAACTTAATATAAGATTGTTTTTAATTTTAATTAAATAACATGTCGTTTAACAAACCTTCCTTAAATTATATTCCAAAGATTCGAATATTTTATCTCTCTTCAAAATTTCTAAAAAAAAAAAAGAAATGGAGACCTCAAGAATATTAAAATAGTGAATTCTTAATCCTTTTGCATCGGTCTCTTATATATTTATGCATTTATCATGGTGCATGACCGATATATTGTATCTAAATAATTTGTGCTCGAGAATGCAATCTTTTAGATCATTTCTAATTTGAAAGACTTTGGATGACTTGAACCAATTTACTAGATTTTTCTAGATTTTTCTGTAATGGATTTGTATCAAAATTATATTTTATCTATGGTTTATTAGGTGTTTCTCTAATTTATTCGTAGATAAAAATTTTACTTTATCCATAACACTAATAATTAATTATTAATAGTCGAAGATGAGATATTCCAACATCGTTTGAGTGAAAGAAACATAGCCTAATTCGTGATCACTTTCAAGTTATTTATTCCTATTATATTTAATAAATAAATACATTTTATTGATATTTTTTTATATCTAATAACAGTAAACAAAAACAAATTGTCATTTTCAATGCATGTGAGCATGAAATTAATAAAGGTCACGATACACTTAAGGCCTCTTATTTTATTCATTATTCATGAATGGATTTTGTTTATTTTAAAATCAATATAATATTTTTGGACTGAAAAAGTTAAAAGAATAGAAAATATTTTGATTCACTGCATTAAACATTTAATTAAAGCTAAATTATAAATTATAACCTAAGGCGGTGGTTGAGTAATCATATTGGAGGTGACTTCTTTCTTAGTATCGAGGATTATTTTTTAACGATAAATTTTAACGTTCCTGACTTTTTTTTAGTTGGGAAAGGAATATGAAATTCAACTTGACTAGAGATAATCTATCAGTTGAAAATCAATCAAAACGAGCCGCTAGACCTAATCGAGTCAATCAACCGAACTAGCCGAATAGGCTTCAATAAATAAGAGGAGAGGTTTGAAGTGTGAGATAACACTTTGTTTAAGTTAAGATTAGAGTGTCTTATACTTAGCACTACACTAATGTTCAAATAATATCTTATGTGGACAGTTATTCGTCCATTCAATTTCGGACCCATGTCCAAATCGTGCATCAATATCATCAATGTACAAAATAAATAAGAAACGATCCTTTTAAATTCTTTTATCTTATTTGAAATGAAAATGTAGTACTGGTTGAGTAGAGAAAGAATAAAAAATTTACTAATATAAATTTTTAATATTATTTATTAATACAAAGCTTAAATAAGACAAAGTCAAATGGGAATGTTATGAAATCCTATTTTAACTAAATTCGTTTATAGATTTTAAATCACTCACAATTTTGGAGAAACAAATAGATCATTAACAAAAAAAACCTACTAGGATCTAATTGAAAATTTAATGATTATAGGAACCAAAATTTTAAGGGAGCAGACACCTTAGACTTTTAATTTTATTTGTGATAAGATTCCACTTTTAAAATATGTGCCAAATATATTTCTAAGATGTGTAATAAGTCATTTTACATAAAATTAAAGGTTCCTATTAAATTTGTTTATTAGATATAAAATTCCATCTTGTATCTAAAAAAATCTATGATTTTTATTTTTTATTTTTAACAAAAATTGAAATCCTACTCTCCACTAAGGACGCAAAAGCTTTTTCTTTTTCTTTTTCCTTTTTTTTAATACAACAATTTTCTACCGCACTTAAATTGTTATTAAAATTAGTGGTAAAAGAATTACGAAGCTTTGGATCGTCATCAAAGAGAGCGCAGCAGTAGTTAAAAAACCGGCCACCGGCGCTCCGGCGAGAGAGCCAAAGAAAATGGAGGATGAGCTTCTGAACTTCTTCAAAGTCTGGTTTTCAGTATGGATTTCTCTCTGCTATTGCTATGGCGTCGGAAAAATAATCCGACCGGGAACCGGTAGACTCATCTTCTTCTTCCCGGTGATCTCCCTCTTCCTCTACCTCCCCATTAATCTCCACTCTCTCCATCTCGGCGGCCTCACCGCCTTCTTCGTTGCTTGGCTCGCCAACTTCAAACTCCTCCTCTTTGCCGTCGACCAGGGCCCTCTAGCCGACCCCAGGATCTCCATAGGTACGTCGTATGAAATGAAAATGATAATAAGTTTCTTATTCACGAATATAATTAAAAAAAAAGAAAGAAAGTAAAATCAATGGTTCTACTGACATGTTAAATTGCTGCCGAATTCCAATTTAAAAAAATTGATAGTTCTACTGTGATATCATGTGTTTGTATATTACAGAATTGATAGTTCTATAGTGATATCATGTTTGAATTGCTACCAAACCCGAATTTTATATACTAGGAAATCAATAGTTCTACTATGAGATGATGTTTAAATTGCTCCCAAATCCGAGAATTTGCTAACTTAAATTTAATCATTTGTTGGACAGGGATTTTCTGTGCCTTGGCTTCTCTCCCCATCAAATTCAACCAAAACCCACTTGAAAAAGGCTCGGAAAATTGCAATGGAGGTGCTCCAATGGAGGCAATTATAAAATCCCATCACCACCACGAGTCTCTATTAAACTACGCCGTGAAG